AAATTCACATAAAAGTGCTTTCACATCTACAGCGGAGGAACAGACCTAGCTTCCTGTGTTGAGTTTCAGTTTCTCAGCTTACATATTGTCAGGGAGATAATTATTAGTCTGGCAGATTTGGGGTCTTTTTTTCTGTCTGGAAAAAGAAAGCCACACCAGAGGTATTGAAATTAAAAGCTGCCAACGTCAAAATGCTGATACATTCACCTGCTTAGTTCAGGTTTTTTTAAATTTACAGGCAAAAAAAATGTTTTAGCGAATTTGTTCCTCCCCCACTGTCTGCATAGTAGGGTTACGAATTTATTCGCATTAAAGCTTTGGAAATAACCACACACATGCACACACAATTATAGTTTATCTGTTTCTTAAAACTGATCTAGACTTCTTCACAAATCTCTACTGACTAAAACAAACAAACAAAGGCAACTCTTAATTTAATCTATTAAATTCAGTCTACTTAAATAAACATTGTCTATTAAAGTTCAACCACGTTATGGTAAGCCTTAATTGATAGCTTTAGAACCTCAGACTTTCAGATTCGGCCACCATCTATTTCCTCTTCTCATTTCCCACCCCTCTCTTTCTCAAGGAGTCTGGGAGAATAAGGGATAAATGTGGCTTCTGAGAACTCAAGGTGACAGATGTAAGACCCATCTTCTTGTTCTTCTTTGGTCCCTGCCTTGGCATAACTGGCCTCTTCTGCTACCAGGACTGGTGACCCCTGGTCCCACAGCTCTGGGCTTTTCAGAAGAGTGCCTCCGCTGCATGTCACAACTCCAGCCTCTTGTTTCAAGTCCTGAAAGCCATCCTGAGGCTCCTCATGTCAACCACAGGCCTGTGCCAGGCATTTTTCCATTCCTTCATTGAGATCTGGAGGATCTTCTGGAACCCTGCACAACAGAGACCATGGAAGCCAATAGCACTGCCTCAAGTTCACTGCCACCCACTCTGTTGTGCCATCTCTCCCAGAGGCCACATTGGGCATAGCTACAGCTAATATTCAGCCAGCATTCATTAGTATGTCTATACCCGTTATTAAAATATTACAGTATATTATTCATGCTTGTTGATTAATACCCACTGTTTCAAGTCATTGGAGTATCCCCCATTACAACAGCTCTTTACTGGGATGCCCTTACCTCATTAAAGATGGTAAAGCCCATAGGATAATTCCAGGACACAGCTCAACTTCATTTCTAGACTCCGATTGATCTAGATGATTCCGGTTATTAAATATTTTTAATATTACCTCTGAACACAGATGCATGTGGCTGTTCCTCTCCCTTGTTTGTTTGGGGTTGTATGCTACTCAGGTATTTCTGAAGGTCATTGCCATCTACTTGGGGTGCTGGAAGTGAATATAATAAAGAGTTGGGACCTAAATTGAATGACTTCTCTTTGTCTTTGCCTGCAAACAATCATAGGCTGAAAGGGATGGACTATAAGCTTTTCACTTCTGAATTGCAGACTCCTCTGATGGGAAAGCAACAAGGATTATGGACCAGCTACCATGGCCACAGGGCTCTCTTCTTTGTACCACATAAGAAATCTATGATCTGACACATTAGGGTTTGATTCTTGATATGCCAAAGCAATTGAGTAAAGTAAGTTTTTACCATTAAGCCAGTTTTCTCTAGCATTCCATCTGGAACAATCCAATCTCTTCCCACCCCAACCCACACTACCACTAACCTGGGCCTGATTAGAGAGGAGATCGTGAACAAGCAAATAGAAAAAGATACAATTTCCAAAACATTACCCCCATTTCATCTGTGTTCCAACTTTGAGTCTAGAAGCAGGTGTCTTCAGCAAGTCAATAATGGTTTCAGAAAGAGTACCAGTGTGTCTTCTACCACACGATTTGCTATCATATATGTATGTGTCATTATAAAATAAAATCAATCTAGTAATATGTGTTTTTTGGGTATCTACTATTTTCCCAGATTTTAAGGAACACAGTGAGGCTTCACAATTAGGAGGCAGAGCTTCTGCCTCTGAGGACTTTCATTTCTAGCCGGAGGGACAAAATCAGCATCAGAAAATAGTTCAAGATTGGGGCACCTGGGTGGCTCAGTGGGTTAAGCCGCTGCCTTTGGCTCAGGTCATGATCTCAGGGTCCTGGGATCGAGTCCCGCATTGGGCTCTCTGCTCAGCAAGAAGCCTGCTTCCCTCTTTCTCTCTCTCTCTGCCTGCCTCTCTGCCTACTTGTGATCTGTCTCTGTCAAATAAATAAATAAAATCTTTAAAAAAAAAAAGAAAATAGTTCAAGATTGAATGAACGTTAAATTCTCTCACATTTGAAGAGGAGAGATCAATATGGGTTCCTGAGAAAAATTCTGGAGTAAGTGAGAAGTGACAAGGGCCTTAAAATATGAATTTCATATTCTTGAATTAAGAGTTGAATATACTTTCCCTCTAGGACTAGGAAGTAGACAGAGATGTTCCCCCAAGTACTAGAATATGCAGTAATTCAAGAAAAGGAAAAATAAAAGGTAAACATATTGGGAAGGAAGAAATAAAGCTGTCTTTGTTTACAGATGATATGATCACCCATGTAGAAAATTCAAAAGAATTGACAAGAAAAACTAAAACTAATGACAATTATAGCAAGGTTGAAGGATATATGGTTTTAGACCGAAGTTCGTCATTTGGCTATATGCTAGCAATGAAAATGAATTTGAAATTATAAACACAATGCCACTTATACAAACACCCTAAAATATTTAGGCATAAATCTAACAAATCATATACTAGATTTATTTGAGGGAAACTACATAAGTGTGAATGAAATCAAAGGACTAAATAAATGGAGAGATACTCAATGTTTGTGGATAAGAAGACTCAATATTCCCAAAATGTCATTTCTTCCAAACTCAATCTGTAGATTCAGTGCAATCCCAGTCAACATCCAAGCAAATAATTTTGTAGAAATTGACAAACTGATTCTAAAGTGTATGGGGAGAGGCAAAAGACCAACACAATAGCCAAAACATAGTAAAGAAGAACAAAGTCATCCAAGACTACCACTGCCTGACTTTAGGACTTATTAGAAAGCTACAGTCAGTCTACGGCCATACCACCCTGAATGCGCCCGATCTCGTCTGATCTTGGAAGCTAAGCAGGGTCAGGCCTGGTTAGTACTTGGATGGGAGAAAGCTACAGTCATTGAGACAGTGTAGTATTGGCAAAAGGAAAGACAGATGGACCAATGGCACCAAATAACCCAGAAATAGACCCACATAAATAGAGTCAACTGATTTCTGACAAGGGAGCAAAGGCAATACAATGGAGCAAAGAGGATCTTTTTAACAAATAGTGCTGGAACAAGTGGACATCCACATCCAAAAAATTAATCCAGACACAGACTTTATACCTTTCATAAAAATTAACTCTATGTGGAAACACAGACTCAATGGAAATACAGGCCGAGAAGGGAGCAGAGAGGTCTGCATTAACCATGGGAGAAGAAAGACTATCCAGCAAGAGCATATAAAGACAAGAGGTGAGGGTTAAGACACAAACCCTCAGAAGCTCAGTCTTTAAGGTACAGGCAGCAGAGAAAGAGCCAGAGAAAAGTGTTGAAAAAGTTCAGGCAGTTCTGAAGAGAATTAAGAGAGAACTTGTGCCATAAAGACCATACATTTAATCTATGGAAATTAACCTTCAAACACCCACTCTGAATCATCGTTTTCATTGCATATTTTCTATCATCACCAGGAACCCGAAGCCCCAGTCCTCTTCAGTGAGGCCATCTGAAGTTCAGACAAGCCATCATCAACAGGAGTCACAGCCCCCAGAAATAAACTGAATCCTGGTTTTCCAGAGTATATAAACCTGCAGGGAGCCTAATGGTTCTTAAGGATAATCGTAAAAATTCTGTGCAAGGATTTTCAGTTTTTTTTTTTCTCTCTCTGATGACATCTAGGATAAATAACATATATATATACATGGGGTCATTAGGATGGCCACTTAAATCCCTAGTGACCAAGTGCTAACACCCAGTTTCTACACCTGTATTTCTGCCCACACTGACGTTTACATTGGCAAATTCAGTCTGTTGGGAGCAAAGGAGGAAAACAAAAAGAAGAGCCAATACTTCAAAATGATATCTCAGCGTTCCACATAATAGGGTCTTGCTTTAATTCAAATACAGAAATGGGGTTGATCATTTTAATCCTCTCATGGTACTTGGAAATCTGAATGTGTTCAAAGCAAAACCACCTAAACAGCAGCAGTATGTACAAAACTCACCTTAAGAATAGCAATTTACAGGGTGTCTGGGGGCCTCAATCATTAAGCATCCATCTCTTGATCTCAGCTCAGATCTCAGATCTCAGGGTCGTGAGCTCAAGCCATGTGTTGGGTTCCATGCTAGGCATAGAGCCTACTTAAAAAAGCAAACAAACAAACAAAACCCTAGCAATTACTTACACTAAACCATCATCTGTATATTAAATTATAGTTGTGGGTTTGAATTTTAACAAATTTTTCATTTGGAGTGTAATTTGTACTATATATCTATATCTATATCTATATCTATATATAGATATATATAGATATATATAGATATTTTTTTTTTTTTGGTTTTCCATTTGCAGGTGAACCCTGGTGGAGGATGGGAGATTTCTCCATTAAAATGGATCGTGCCTGGGGTGCCTGGGTGGCTCAGTGGGTTAAAGCCTCTACCTTCAACTCAGGTTATGATCTCAGGGTCCTGGAATCGAGCCCTGCATCAGGCTCTCTGCTCAGTGGGGAGCCTGCTTCCCCTTCTCTCTCTGTTACCTCTCTGCCTACTGTGATCTCTCTCTCTGTGTCAAATAAATAAATAAAATCTTTTTTAAAAAATGGATCTTGCCTTTCCAATAAAATAGTCTGACAACCACCAATTTTTCCAAGGCCTGTTCATGAGACTGTTTTGTTTTAAATTTGAAGCCGTATTTCTCCATCTGGAAGCTGGTATTTTTAGATTGTTAACCTCGTTGCATTCCTTTCCTTTTTAGATAAAGTTATCGGACTTTGGTTTTTGTGCTCAAGTTTCTAAAGAGGTGCCCAAGAGGAAATCACTGGTTGGCACTCCCTACTGGATGGCACCCGAGGTGATTTCTAGGCTACCTTATGGGACAGAGGTAAGGGGGTAGCAGTCATTGAGGGTGGCTGGACAGACTCAAGGATGCAGTGGTTCTGAGAGAGTTAATGACCACAGATCAGGGCGGTGATGTTTGACTCCATATTTGACCCCCATTCACTAGACTTGTCATAGAGTAGGTTGTGGCAGGAAGGGGACCGGCCACTATTGAGGAAATTGGCACAACGTTGATCCAGAGGCATTTATCGAGGTCCTAAGCAGACACTGGCGTAGGGGGAATCAGGCAAACTCTGACCCCACCCTCAGTGGCAGGCATACCCTAAACAGGGCAACACAACTTGAAATGTGGCCAGAAATGCACACATGAGCAGGTGTCATGACTCAAAGGATAAAGGGTCAGAGACAGCTCTGCAGAATAGAGGTAATATTTGGGGCTGAGCAATAATGTTTTTTCCCTAGAAAAAAATTATATACAAATATTATAACGCATTTAAAAATAGGGCACAATTTCTGCTTCCCTTGGAAAAGAAGCAATTGCTCATAATCTGTTAAGGGATAAGGTTTGGGTATGTGAAAATGAGGGGCCAGAAGGAGTGGAGGAAAAGTGTTCTAGAGAGGGAGCACTGTGAGCAAAGCCCTGAGGCATGCAAGTCTCCACACACATGGCAGTAAGGAGCTCGTTCCAGCCGGGCACACAGCGTTTCCACACATTCTGGTGCAGAAGGCGATTCTAAGAGAGGGGAGCATGAAGAGGTGGCATGGACCAGTGAACTAAGGATATCAGCATAAATGAAGGCAGGCTCCGCTCTCTTTCCCTTGTTTGCTTGCCCTTGAATGAGTACTCGACTTGTCTCACTGTGGTCCTGAGAGCATAAATTCTCAGTGAAGATCCCAGCAAGGGTTATAACAGGAATGCAGCTCACTGATAAGAGGTGTAATGAGCCTGGGACTGGGAAGTGGCTGTAACTGGGAACCAATAGCCCAGCTATGGCTTCTCATTGTCCTGACTTCCCATTCTGCACTCAGAAAGAATTGCTTGTCGGCTCTTCCTTTTCTTTTCCCTGTTACCTGAAAATGGTTTTGTAAAGCAGGGTTTTTGTGCACGCTACTTCAAAATGATAAAATGTAAAGGAAAGAACCCTGACGTAGGGAAGGAAGAGCTATTTTAAAAAATTAAATTAATAAAAGGATCAGCATATATCGTGTTGTTGAGCAATGTAGCTTTTTGCAGTTTGTTCTGAATATGTCAGATGCATTTTTTTATGATTTAAATGCAATTGTCTTCTCTGTGTTCATAACATAAAATTTGAGTGTTTTTCTTATCTACCCAGATAGGGAACTACCTAATTTAGCAGTTAAAAAAAAAAAAAAGGTTCTGAACTTGAGCATGTTAAGATATTCATGTGTACCTAAATGGCAGAATCTTCACTGAAATTGTCTTTAAAAAGCAAATGAATACACTGTATGTTAGTTAAACTGAATTGAAATAAAATAAAATAACAATAAAAATAAAGCAAATGAAGACCATTAGCAAAAACTGGGTAACTGGGCACTTCAGTCTGTAAATCTGGGCTATAAGTTTTGGAAGTTTACAAATACCACCTTAATTTATAAATGGGTATGAATCTGTTGGGTCCCCTGGAAACATCCAACATTTCAGAATGTTCTCCTTTCCTGAGATAACCATTGGATTGTGCCTAACAGGTAGATATCTGGTCCCTCGGGATCATGGTGATAGAAATGATAGATGGCGAACCGCCCTACTTCAATGAGCCTCCCCTCCAGGCCATGCGGAGGATTCGGGACAGTTTACCTCCAAGAGTGAAGGACCTACACAAGGTAAGAAGCACCATCTGTTGCTGAAGCTCAAAGATCATTCTTAGACATTTTTAGTCTCTCTGTAGCTTCAGGACTGGCATTTCATACCTAGGAGTAGATCCTGGTTGATGGATCTGGATTTTGGAATTCGAATCACCTGGATTCAGATCTCTGCTCTTCCTGTTCACTCAATGGTCAAGGGAGTCAGCCTCTCCATCTCTGAAGTTTGTCTGTAAAATGGGTTACAACTGGCTCATCTCTTGTAGGGTTGGCCAGAAGAATAAATCAGGCACTCCACGAGAACTCCCTTCCTGAGCACCTGTGACATACTGGGGACTGTTCTAATTACTGGGAATATTGCAGCATAAGACCTCAGATTTCTGACTCTTATAGAGCTTATGTTCTAGTTGGGGAGGCATATGGTAAACCACAAACAGATGAACAAAATAATTTCGGAGACTGATATATGCTACGAAGCAAAGCAAACACTGTAATGCAATGAAGTATGCAGGAGAGGGGATTGGGAACTTGTTTAGGTTGAAGGGTAAAAGAAGCCCTTTCTGGGGACAGATCATCTGAACTGGAATATGAATAGAAGGAAGGAGCAAGATATGCAAAGATCCGGGAGAAAAATGTCTGAGGCAGAGGGAACAACAGGTGCAAAGTCCCTATGCCAAGATGGAAATCTTCTGTGGCTGAGCAAAGTGAGCCAGGGTAAAGGGTAAGACATGTCAGGGAGGGGAGCAGGGGCCAGATCACACAGGGCAATGAAGAGCATGGTTAAGGAATCAAGTAGGGTCTTTCTGTTTTCCAAGGATTGCCAAGTAGGTTCAAGCTCAGAAAATAATGATGCTGAGTCAAAGAAACAGCAGTCTGGGAACTGCTTACTGGTTAGGGGTGGAGGGAAGGGCTTGCTAAAAGGGAGTGGCCATTTCCACAAGGTCATATAAAAAATGACCATACACACACCACTCCTCTCCTCCCCTCTACCTCATGGCACTGGGAGGAACTGAGTCTGCCTTTTAGGGGAGAATTACCCTCTCCCCTTACCCCTAAAGCTTAAGGAAGAACCCCTACAGAATCACCCCTATAGTTGTATAAACTTTTAGGAAAACAGGAAACTGCTTGAATTGAACAGGAGATTAAGAGTTTTACTGCATTGGACTAAGTTTAAATAATCAAAAGTGGTTAAAATAGCATGGTATCAAAATAGTCCTACACCCAATAGAAATGGCATGGTGTTCTTCCAAGTCACATACAAGAGCAGTCTTAATCCTAATGGTCAGAAATTAAACACCACCCAAGGTTGTTTTCCAAATGGATAAATAATATGTGGTATAATTTAACAGTGAATACTATACAGCAGTGAGAAGGTTAAAGATTTTACTGCACACCTCAGGGATGAATCCCACAGACACAACGTTGAGTAAAAGAAGCCAGACAGAGAAGACCTGACAGTACATAACTCCATCTCTAGAAAGGACAAAAGAGGCAAAATTATGCTACTAGAAGTCAGGACAGTGGTGAACCTTTGGAGGAAGATGAGTATTAACAGGAAGGAGACCCAAAGTAGCCCCCTGGAGTGGTAGAAATGTTCTGTGTTGTGGTGGGACTGGAGAGTAAACAGGTATATGTATATATGTATGTACACACACACACACACACACACACACACACCACTGTAAGACATACACTTAATTTGAATGTTTGTAAGATATACTTACTGCTTCCATAACTACTTTCTTCTCAAGCTGACTTTCTAGAATTTGCTATTGTTTGATAGGATGACTTAACTGGGAAGTGGCTGGAAAACCACTTTGGGGAACTGGGTTGGGTTTCTGTGTTAGTCCTCAGGATGGGATCTTGTATTTTCACAGGTTTCTTCAGTGCTCCGGGGATTCCTAGACCTGATGCTGGTGAGGGAACCCTCCCAAAGAGCCACAGCCCAGGAACTCCTTGGACATCCATTCTTGAAACTGGCAGGTCCGCCATCTTGCATCGTTCCCCTTATGAGACAATACAGACATCACTGAGTAGAGGATTCTACTGGTGGAATCAAGGTGGAAGAGCTAGATGAGGACATGACAATAATTCAGGAGAACATGAGGAACATGAAAAAGGCCTGTGTACTCGAACCAGCTGATCGGTGGGACAATGTGATGACAGGCAGGGTTCAACAGACCAGGGCATCTTCTTGTGTCTTAAAACAGGCATCTCTCCACTGACAGCTGGCGTGGTCATTTGGAACACGGCTTTAATAGTCATTATTATATTTTTCAGCCCTTCATCCAGCAAATCAGAAGGACTCAGTACAAACTCCGTTACGACATATCCTAGCTACATGCAGGGTAATGCATAGGATTTTCTATATTGAAAGAATAATTTTCTGGCAAAAAAAAAAAAAAAAAGAAAGGAAAACAAAAAGCACTTTTTTCTTAATGGTAGCAGTGTAATGTATTTTGCAATGAATTTGTAATTTTTCTGTACGATAGTTTTGATAATTTATAGTACTTTGATGTCACGTAGCCATAGTATCAGTTGAAGTAATACCTGTTTACTAGCAAGAGTTTGAACAAAGCCTTTCCTACTTTTTTATCCCTTTCAGAGAACCAACGATTCTTTAGGAACTTTGAATACTGAATGATTCTCAATCACCGTCAGCTTTAGTAGAATATCTTTCTTATCTTAACAAGTGTCTTATGTGATGGAGGAAGACTTAAGAGTGATGGTGATGGAGGTGCACATTTCATTTATCCAACCAAAAATAACAAAATTGGAGCCACAGTAAGCCACCAAGCCACTCCTTGGGATAAAGCTTAATCTTTGGAAAATTCAAATTTTCCTTCAAGGCTATTAATTGCAGACCAGTGTTTGCACAGCAGGGTGTTCCCCTTCCCCATACCCTCTCTCCAGTGGGTGTGATATTCCCCTCCCCAAGCGTGGCCACATTTCTCACCAAGGAAACAGTTTTCAGTGCTAGGATCATTGGTCCCAGTTCCCCAAACTGAATGTTGAAGGAAGACTGAGAATTCCAGTCTCACCAAGGGAAAGGAGAGAGAACAGGGCAAGATGTTTGGTTTTGTTTGTCACTGTTTCGAAAACTCTGTATGCTAGCACACCAAACTCTTGTCTGTATTTACCTTCGTACCGCAGTATTAATTGCTATTGTTCCTGTATCGTGCTGGAAGTCAGAACTGACTTTAGAGGATGAATTAGGAAAGGGGTATTTTACCAGGTGTGTTCTGACTTCAGTTGTGACCCTGTTATAATGTGTTTCCGACATAGGGGAGTTGTGCTGCTGACTAGATCTTCTTGAATGTTGATAAAAATGAATGACTACTACAATACATTTTGTGTTGCTTGTTGGATGAATTTGCATGTTAACTGTAGGCCAATATAGATTTGCCTTTAAAAACTCTGGAAGAGCTACATAGTCATCATTAGTTTCTATTAATTATGCATCAGAAAAAAAAGCCATTTGTTACCAAACTGGAAAACCAGAGGCTTTTCTTAATGACTTCAACATACTGTAACAAATAGGAATTTAAATTCGTGAAAATTCTCTGGTTGCTCTAAGCATAATTAAGAATTTTTGTAATGAATAGGTTGCTAACTATTTATTATAGCTAAAAAGGAAAAAAAAAAAGGCATAAAATGACCTTCTACAGATTAGATTTTTTTTTTCCCCCAAACTGGAAATGTCTCACCATGAATAGGATCTATAATTTTGTTTCATAAAACACAACAAATCAATGTTTTATGTAAAATATTAAAATATTAATATAAAATGTATGAATAAAAATCTAAATCCAGAAAATGGCCGTCCTAAAAGTTCATGGAACAGATTATATTAATTTAACCAGGACTATGTAGAAGTAGAAAGAAAAAGAAAATCTTTTTTTAACCAGAACAAATATTAAAAACCATTGCAGAAAATTATGGATTTTGGATTCCAAACATTTTCAACAGTGTAATGGAAATTTTTCTGTAATTTTCTTATCACTGGGTATTTTATAAATATTCATTGAGTTTAACAAAAGTTACTGTAGCTTAAAAGGTTTTGTGAGCACTAACTATTGGCAGAAACTGCACTTGCAAATAAAAATAAATGTTTGCCTTTTTCCCAAATGTTATTAGAAAATCCAATGATTTCCTAAATTTGTTTTCTTCAATAATCAAGAATGCTTTCTCTGTGATCTTGGGGAATGCAAATGAGTAAGAATAAAGTTAGAATGTAACATCATGATGACATGAACAGAAGATAAATATTCCCATCCCTAGAGGTCACATAGAGCGGAAGACTGTGGTAAAGATAGCACAACTGAGAAAAAAAAAGTACTGAAGTCCGGAAGGCAACATGCAAGGAAAGCCAGCTTCATGACTAAAGACTTCCACTCTCCACTTCTCTTTTTCAGAGATGCTGAACTGATCCAAAGACTTTTACCAACAAAAGACATAAAGACATGGATTAGAGCAGGTGTAGTGAAGGCTCTCTAGTAGACAGAAAGACAGTGTTGGGTGTCTCCTCTTCTTTGGGGGACCAGGGAGGCATTAACATTTAGTCCATGATGTTGAGAAGGACGCTTGCATATAGAGAGTTCATTGCTTGGGGTGCCTGGGTGGCTCAGTCAGTTAAGCAACTGATTTTTGATTTTGGCTCAGGTCATGATCTCATGATCATGGCATTGAGCCCCACATTGGGCTCCGAGCTCAGTGCGGAGTCTGCTCAAGATTCTCCCCTTCTCCCTCTGCCCCTCCCCCTGCTCTCTCTCTCTTTCTTTTTTTCTCTCTCTCCCAAAGATAAATAAATAAATGAAATCTTTTTTTTTTTTTTTTTTGTAAGAGTTCATTTCTTAACCTGGAAATTTCAGAAGGAGGAAACCCTAAGAAAATAGCCACAGGTAGCAGTCTGAGAAATGATGTAGTATATCATGTGCCAGGGAAGAGTAAGATGGAAGCATCCTTCCCCAGGTATGAAGCCATTGCAGGATGTGGAAGAAGACACCAGGTCTCTTTGTCTGCATTGGGCCATGGAGAGGGAAAAGGGAACATCTCAAACCATTTAACCAAATAATGATATGCCTAATTTGGACAGTGCATTGGAAACAGGCATCACAAGGGGAACTAAAGGGAGATAAGGCAACTTTTCTGTAGGGGGATGGGCTCAGGGTGGAGCTGAACTTTACTCTAAAACCTACTGGGACCATCCACGCCAAGACCAGTCTCAATAGCAGAGGCCTTAGTTTCTTAGGCTGACTCAAATGACAGTCAGTCACCTCCCCTTCTTCCAGCAGCATCTCCAAGGCAGCTGACTTCAGCCAGCTGTTTACTGGAACTTCCCTTCCAGGCTGCTCCCCATAGATTTGGGCCATGTGTTAGTGTGAGACCCCCCCATGGTTTGGGGGAAGAATCTAGAAGAAAGAAAAGAAGAACAAGAATGCATACCATGTCTCCTGCCACTACCTATCTACTGTTACCTCTTTCTCTGATACATGTTTAGCCCAAGCAAAAGAGAGGGGGGTCATTTTGAATTAGAATGAGATTGATTTTTTTTAATGGATTAAACAGATGGAATCAGACTGAGTTATGGTTGTATCCCCATTACCCACTGGGAAGAAGACACTCAGTAGCAATTACTGAAAAAAAAATAAAATCATTCCATGAAGTTAACAACTCAATGAGTTCAGATTCTTTGGTCAAACCAGTCAAACGAATTGCACTGTGTCATCAAAGAAACAATAATGAGATTCCAGGCAGAGAAAAAAAATCAATTCAGTCTGAAGCAGGTACAAAATGTACAAGCAGGACCAGTTCTGGGAAAGTGACACGATGTAGTACAAATCCAAATTGTTTGGGAAAGTTGGTCAACTTGAGCCTTCACGTGTGTGCTTCTTCAGCCGTATTTCCAGGCCAAAGAAATATATTAACTTATTGTGGGTTCTGCCAAAAGGAGAGCCTAAGATAGATGCTTAGATACAAGTACTTTGTTTGAGAGAAGATCCCAGGAAACTCACTCAACATGGCAGAGTGGAGAAGTGAGATGAAAAAGGGAGAGAAGTTTTTTTTTAAAGCCTTTTTTAATGAATGGCTTACCACTCTGGGTAACCAGAGCTCAGTCCCACTGAAAAACTTCTGGGAGAGACACTGTAGAATTGTCCTTTTGGAGGCGATGATGCTTAAGTAGTCCCTCTCTACCATCTTCTATGCCTCATTGGCTGAGAGTTGCTCACAGGACATCAGTTCTTAAACTTCTGTCTTGCCCTGTATAAGGACAAAGTTTGTTCCCTTTGACAGAGAGAGAGATATGGGAAGCTTGTACAGAAACTGTGAGCAAATGGCCTCCAAGAAGGGCTAAGAGAATATGGGCGAGAAACTAACATCTACGTAAATAGATCTAACGAAGGACAAAAAAGGACGTGTTGAGAAACTCTATGGGTTGCCAATTTCTGGAACAAAATCCACTTTTAAAAGCAAAGGGATTCCTTATCCTGAAAGGTTTGCTCGTGTAGCAAATGTTTTGGTAAGTATGCCTGATTATTGTCAGCAATTGAAAAAATTTAAAGCAAAAAGAGACTCCAAGATCTTATACGATCCATCTTAATTGAGGTAACCAAGGTTCCCAAAGTTAGGCAGTGTCAGTAAATGAATCATACTGCCTAAATAGACCAAACACACACACACACACACACACACTTCAGTACTGTTAGGGCAGGGATTTTTTACCTATTTTGTTCACTCATCATCCAGACCAAGGTCCAGAAAATCCACAGTCAGTGTCAACAAACACTTGTTATCTCATTGGTGGTATGAGTCTTTGCAAATCCTTCCCTAGCAGACAACCTGACAAGTTCAGTCACTTGTTTTTTAGATAACTGACATATTAGTTTCATTTGTACAACATGATTTGCTATATGTATATGTTGTGGAATGATAAGTCTAGTTAACATCTATCAACAACATAGTTACAATTTTTTTCCTTACGAAAACTTTGAAGATTTATGCTTCATAACTTTCAAATATATAATATAGTATGGTTAATCATAGCCATGCTGTACATTATCTTATAGGACTTATTTATTTTATAAAAATAAAAAAAAGTTTGAGCCTTTTGACCCCGTCATCCATTTCACCCAACACCCCCATCCTCTGCCCCCAGCAACCATCAGTTTTCTGTATCTATCAAATTTTTTTTAACTCCACATATAAGTGAATGTCATTATCTGAAGTATTTCACTAAGGATAATGCCCTCAAAGTCCATTCTTGTCTCAAAGGGCAGGATTTCCTCCTTTTTTGGGATTTTTTTTTTAACGACTGAGAAATTGTGTGTGTGTGTGTGTGTGTGTGTGTGTGTGTGTGTGTGTACACACACACATTATGTTTCCTTTATCCATTCATCTATCAT